TTTTTTGAAGTATAATTGTGAGTGGGATTTTTTTCAATATTTCTCTCTTCTACTTCATTATTTTTATATAGGAAAACCAGGGGCTTTTGTGTGTTAATATTTTACCCTACCATTTTACCATACTAGTGTTTTTTCTAGGAGATTTTTTGGAGAGTTTTTAGGATTTTCTAGATATAGTATTAAATTACTTGTAAGTAATGAGACATGTCATCTGCAAATAACTTAGTCCCTTTCTCTCTGTTTGCCCCTAATACCTATTTCTGGCTTAATTGTTGTAGCATGTAATTTCAATATTTTTAAATAGAAGTGGTGAGAGTGGGCAACCTTGTCTTGTGCCTGATCGTAAAGGGAAAACTTTTTTTTCCCTATTGAGTATAATATTTGCTGTGACCTTTTGTTCTCTAATTCTCATTCTCAGAGAACCTGGCAGGCCACTGAGAGTATCATGCCCTCATATGGGCCTGACTGGGAACACCTGTAAAGGTGATTAAAGGCTGCCCAAAGCTTTCATTCCTCTAGAAGTGCCCGGCAAGCCACGAAGAGTATCCTGCCTGCATGGCAGAGTTTGGCAAGCTCCCCGTGGCGTACTCGCTATGCCAAAAACAGTAACAATGATGGTCCTCATTTCCCTGATCCTGAAAAAGCCCCCAATATGTCATTGGGCTACTCTAGCACGTGACAGGGACAAATGGAGACGTTACTGGGCCCGCTCGAGTAAATTGATGAACAACGGGGTGATAGTGATAGTGATAGTGATTTGCTGTGAGGCTTGTGTTAAATGGATTTGACTATATTGAGGAATGTTCCTTCAATAATCATTTTATTCAACATTGTTATCAATAATGGATGTTGAATCATGTCGAACTCTGAATCTATTAATATAATCATAATTTTTGTTTTCCTTCTATGAATATGGTATATAACATTGATTATAACATTGATAACATTGATAAACTTATGTTATGTATGTTAAACCATCCGTGCATCCCAAGGATTAATCCCACTTGGTCATGGTGAGATTAGTGATTTTTTGATTAGTCGTTGGATTCTATTTGCTAGTATTTTGTTTAGAATTTTTGGATCTGTGTTCATCAGATATATCAGTCTATAATTCTCCTTTTCTGTGCTGTTTCTGTCTTCTTTTGGTATTTAGGGTAATATTTGCTTCATAGAAACTGGGAGTGTTTCTGTTTCTTTTATTTCCTGAAAGAGCCTGAAAAGAATTGGCAGTAATGAACACATCTTGGCTGGGATTTAGTTTGTGGGGAGACTTCTGCTTACCATTTAGATTTCTTCAATAAAGGAGCGACAACACAGCAGGTAGGGCATTTATCTTGCACATAGCCGACCTGGGTTTAATTTCTCTGTCCCTCTCAGAGAACCCAGCAAGCTATCGAGAGTATCTTGAGCAGAGCCTGGAAAGCTCCCTATGGCGTATCCGATGTGCCAAAAACGGTAACAACAAGTCTCACAATGGAGACGGTACTGGTGCCTGCTTGAGCAAATCGATGAATAACGGGAGGACAGTGCTACCAGTGCTACCAATAGTGATAGGTTGTTTATGTATTCTATATCATCTTGGTTCAGCCTTGGGAGGTTATAAAAGTGTAAGAATTTATCAATTTTTGTATATACTTTTGTTTCACTGTTACTGTCACTGTCCTCCTGTTGTTCATTGATTTTCTCGAGCGGGCCTAACGTCTCCATTGTGAGACTTGGTTGTTACTCTGTTCGGCATATTGAATATGTCACGGGTAGCTTGTCAGGCTTTGCTGTGAGAGCAAGATACTCTCGGTAGCTTTCCAGGCTCTCCGAGAGGGGCAGAGGAATCAAACTCAGGTAGGCCGTGTTGGCTGCATGCAAGGCAAACACCCTACCCGCTGTGCTATTGCTCCAGCCATGGCATAAAATTTTTTGAAGTAATTCCTAGTACTCCTTTTGAAGTAACTCCTAGTACTCCTATGTTGTGATGTCCCACCTTTCATTTCTGACTTGGTTAATTAGGGTTCACTCTCATTTTCTTTGTGAGTCTTGCTAGTGGTTAATAAATCTGGCATATAATTTCAATGATGCAGCTTTTGGTTTTATTAGTCTTTGGTATATTTTGGATCCCAATTCATTTATTTTTGCTCTGTTTTATTATTTCCTTCTTCCTACCTTGCTCTTTTTATTGGCCGTTTTCCAACTGTGTAGCTAGATTATTTATGTGGACGTTTTGTTTCTGATTAGTGTTTGTAAAGCTCTAAACTTCCCTCTTCACATGGTCTTTTGCTTGTCCCACGGTCCTTTCTGGTAGCTCATGTCCTCATTCTCATTCATTTTCAGGAAACTTTTTTTCCTTTCTTATTTCTCTCTGAACCACTGTTTGTTCAATAGTGAACTGTTTTATTTCCTGGTATTCGAGGTATGTCTCTGTTTCTGTTTATGATTAACTTATATTTTCAATGCATTATGGTCTTAGAAGATAGTTGATAATGATTTATACCCCCTTGACTTTATGGAGGTGTTTTTCTGTCCCATAATGTGGTCTATCATGCAGAATGTTCCACAAGCATTGGAGAATACTATGTATCTGGCTTTTTCAAATATTTGGCTTTTTAGGATGAAAGATATGTTTGTATGTGAATTAAATCCCTCATCCATTTTTTTCTTCAAATCTAGTATTTTCTTGCTGAGTTTTAGTTTAGTTGATCTATTGAATAGTAATAGAGCATGTTGAAGTCTCAGTATATTATTGTTTTGCTACTGATGTCTTCTTTCAAATTTCTTAGCAGTTATTAGTATTTTCCTGGTCTCATTAGGTGCACATATTTATTTGAGTTCTTTCTGTTGTACATATCCCTTGTTCATTAAGAAAGGACCCTTTCTGTCACTCATGACTTTTTTATCCTGAAGTCACTGTTATCTGATACAAGTATGGCCACCACAGTCTTTTTGTGGGGTTGTTTGCTTGAAATGTTATGTTCCAACCTTTGATTGAGGGTGCATTTGCCCTTACTACTTAATGTGGTTTTTGTAGGCAGAGGAAGATTTGATTCAATTTTCTAATCCATCCTACCACCGTGTCTCTTATTTAGTTCATTTAGACTTTGACATTGAATGAGATTATTATTATGGAGTTTGGTGCCATATTTCTGTAGAAGTTTGCAATGTTTATGAATTTTGTCTCATGTTAAAGTAGTCTCTTCAATTCTTGCAAAAATATTGTTTTAAGCCTATGAAGTTTCTGATTTGTGGCTCGTCCATGAAGTTTTGTTTTGTTTACTATATCCCACCATTGCCTTCAGTCCCTTGGGTACTCATTTGATAAATCTGCTGTAAATCTTAAGGATGCATCTTTGTATATGATTTCCTTCATTGATCTACTTGCATTCAGTATTATATCTATATCTAGGGATTTTGTTATTATGATTAGGATGTCTCTTGGAGTCTTTTTATTTCGGTCTCTTTTAGCTGATACCCTTTTGGTCTCTTGAATTTGACATATTTGCCCTTTCACTCTGAAAATTTCTCAGTGATTATTTCTTTGACTAATGTTTTTCATCAAAATTACTTTCCTGAGTTTCTGGAACTCTTATGATTCATATTCCTCCCAGATTGTTAAATTTACCTCAGAGTTCTCTTTTCTGCTATTCATTTATTTTGAGGTGGTTTTTTTTCTATCTTCTGCTGCTGTCTAGAGATTTTCTGTATTTCATCTTGGAGCTCCCTGTTTTGTCCTCAGCTACTGTTACTCCACTGCTGAGGCTTCCCAGTGAGTTTTTCATTTAAAACTGTTATTAGTAAGAAGTTACAGCTTTTAAAGAACTTTATTCATTAAAATAGATATTCATTAGACTTTTTTCTTAAAGTTTCTGATTGTAGAGAACAACAATGAGAGAATATAGTGCCCCCATAACCAGAATTTAAATCAGAATAAAAACAACTTACAATCAGTCCTTTTCTTAGGACAAATTTTATGGATATAGAAATCCAATCCCAGATACTTAATAGTAATCTCAAAAGAGAACTGCCTTTTCTTTCAAGTCCATGTTCATTGCCAAGTTCCCAGATCCCAAAAGTGCCTAGCCTTTAAATCCTCCCTTTGGTCTCCCCTCCAAAAACATTTCTTAAAATGCCCAATGTGGGTCATTTTACTTTTAATTATTTCTTCTAAGTCTGTATGTTTAATGGGTGGTTGTACTCCCAAAAAAGGTTGCCAGTAGTGATTAGGTATGTTTTGGAGAGAGAGTATTTGTGTGTGAGTTCACATATGCACATGCACATATATGTATCTTTGAATATGCAGAGTACATATTCATAGTGGTAGTTGAACACAATAAGATAATTTGACATCTCTGGATGTACAACCTATTCTTAAGGCGCACAGTCTAGTATGTATGCAAATAAATTAGATAACTGTGTAGAGTTCTTCTGTCTAAAAAACCAGTAAAATTTTCTTCTGCTTTTAGACTTTAGAACTTAGCTCTTAAAGGACCCTTATTAAACTTCTCTAATTTTTACTTTACTATTACAGAAAGTCTGGGATTCAGAAAGAAGTGACATTCTTTTCACCTAACACTCTATGCTGCCAAGTGCCAATAGTCTCCATTTCATTTAGTCCATCCTTCACTACTGTCTGGTGAATTTCTGTTTTGGTCATCTCAGTGATAGTTGTTTATCTCTCAGCAAGTGCTCTGTTGTCTTCTCCACCTTGTAATCATACTCTCCCACTATCCTCTGTATTCTTACATTTCATTTCTCATCCATTCAGTGTGACATGACATATGTGCCAATACAGGAAGCCTTAGACACAAGGACTAGTAGAAACATTCTTGTAAATCTTGGCCTTGTCTTTACTTATCACCAGCAGCAATGAACTTTATGGAGGAATTATGCATTTAGTAGGCCTGTACCACTTGGCGTAACTCACCCTCACCTTCTGCTTGATGTTAAGGCAGACTGTTTAAACTTTTTAAGCTCTATAGAACACTATCTCCTGACCTGCTTTGTTTTGGCAGCTCATGGACTACCGAGCAGAGTTCAGCAAATGGTGGCTTACAGAGTTCAAGACAATTAAGTTTCCTTCCCAGGGAACCATATTTGACTACTACATAGACCCAGAAACCAAGAAATTTGAGCCTTGGTCCAAGCTCATCCCTCAGTTTGAATTTGACCCTGAGATTCCTTTGCAGGTGAGTATGGTTGAATACCCAAGAGCATATATTGGCCCCAAGGATCTGAAGTTTTGGTGTCTTAGATAGTTTTATTAGTGTCTAAGAATTTTTTTTATTTTTTAATTTTTATTAGTGAAACACTATGAGGTACAGTGGTAGACTTATAAATTTTTGTGCTTGGGTTTCAATTATATAATGATCAAGTACCCATCCCTCCACCAGTGCCCATTCTCCACCACCAATGATCCCAGTATCCCTCCCATCCCCCCACCCCCATTCCCCCATCCCACCCTGCCTCTGTGGAAGGTCATTCCCTTTTGTTCTCTCTCTCCTTTTGGGTACTGTGGTTTGCAAAAGAGGCATTGAGTAGCAATCATGTTCGATCTATAGTCTACTTTCGGCATATATCTCCCATCCTGAGAGGATTCTCCTAACACCCTTTATTTGGTGCTCCCTTCTCTATCTGGGCTGCCTTTTCCCCTAGCATGTGTGGCTGGCCTCCAAGCCATGAGTAAACCTCCTGGTACTTATCTCAGCTATTCTTTGGTGTTAGTCTCCTATTTTGTTACTTTATGTTCCCCAGATGAATGCGATCTTTCTATGTATGTCCCTCTCTTTCTGACTCATTTCACTTAGCATGGCTATCTAAGAATTTGGGCCTTGATAGGAACTGGTTATATTCTAGCTATTTGTCTTTTCAAGGAAGTAATAGATATGATGAGATCATAAGAACACGTAGCCTAGATAATGATTATTAGCCCCCATGAACATCTGGACATAAAAAGGAGATACATTGGGGTAGAAGGCTGTAAGCCATGATAGAGAACCACTGAAATGTAGACAGAGATGATACAGAGGAAGGATTTGCTCTCTACCTACTTTATGGGTGATTTTACATTACTGTTAAAGAAGACAGTCCTGAATGAACTTCTCACTGCCAGCAGAATCCCCTCTTCTGAAAAGATCCAGAACAGGTTGTGATACATTTGTTTCTCCCACAAACTCTTGGCACTTTCATCATGTTCCCATTCCAGGCTTGTTTGGTGCATACAAGTGAAACCATCCGAGTGTGCTACTTCCTGGAACGACTTATGGAGCGGCGGCAGCCAGTCATGCTGGTGGGAACTGCAGGCACAGGGAAGTCAGTGCTGGTGGGAACTAAGCTGGCCAGTCTGGATTCTGAAGAATACTTGGTGAAAAATGTGCCATTTAACTACTACAGCACATCTGCAATGCTGCAGGGTAAGGAACCCAGAGTATGTGGAGAAGGGGCAAGGTGGGGAGTGTCTGAACTAGGGTAGTGAGCAAGTATCTGTTAATATGAGTGCTACCCAGGATCCTAACACTGTGAATCCCCTTATATTCTTCTTAATTCCTCCCTTTGTCTCTTACACAATGCCTCTGTCTGCTTCTCCAGCACCCCTTAGCAATGTCCTCTTCCCATGTTATCTCTCTAGATTCCTTACTGATCTTTACATCCCTCCAAGACAGAGTACTCACAGTCAAATTCAATAATTTGATGACAAATAAAGCTGAAAATCCTTCCAGAGACTTGTTAAGGCTAGGACACTCTAGCAATGAGATGTCCCCAGAGATGGCTTCATTGCTTATGTTTTAGGTAGGAGGGAATTGAGATTCAGGTAAAAATATGTGTTCTTCAAATGTCAACAAGAAGCAACAAAGTGACATGGCATGCCCCAGTCTTCTGATCATTTGGAGTGGGCTTTTCCCTTTGTGTTTACACACTGAGTAGATATGGACCCTGGGCAGTCATAGGTAGAGTATATGCTTTTTCCCCCACCACAAGTAATCTCCTCTTTGCCTCTTACCTCTAGTAGAGTCTCCTTGGATATAGAGTCATTTTATATACTTACAGCAGAAATTACTTTTTTGCCTGACCTGGTGGTACTCAAAATTCTTCTCCTTGCTCTGTATTCAGAGATCACATGTAGCTTAAAGGACTATGAATTGCTGGAGTCAAACATGTTCCGCAAACTATGTGCTCTTCCCATTGATCTGTATCCCTGCCCTTAATTGCTGGCTCAGAAATGTCTTTCTTGGAAGAAACCCCTTAGTCAACCTCCCAGCATGAGAGTGGCATGGCTGAGAGAGAAGAGTGATGTGATGAGTGCTGGGCTCTCACCGCCATGCAGGGCTGCTCAAAGCACCCTGGTCAGGGCAAGGCCACTTGCACCCTTTCCTAGTTTATGGCCACATGGTGTCTGAGATTGTGCTGTGGGAGTTTGGAGATATGAGGCAGTTTGCAGGGAGGCCACTGGCAAACGTTGCAAAAGAGATATAAGCTACGGCCCCACGGCCTGCCAGCACTCTTCTCTCTTGACATTCTGTTGTCATTGATTCCCCATGATGCCTAGTTCTGGTGGAAGAGGCTTCTGGAAACCTGGCACCCACCAGTCATATGATTCTTCTAGACCCTGCAGGGACCTAAATTTAGGGATTTTTCAGATGTGTCTTGGGCTAGGGTCAAGTGGATGAGGGGCTTTGCTTTCACTGCCTTGGGATTGGGCATCACTGCCTGTTTTTGTGGGGAGGGGGTGTGGCTGCTTTGTCTTCACTACATTTCCTTGGGGAAAAAGAGTGTCCTTCACCCCTAGACCAAACTGAGCTCTGCGCTGAGCAGAACTGAAATGTCACAGCTTGCTCTGGAAACCGTATCAGAGTTCCCTCCCCATCTTTAATTTTGCTATTGTAATTATTAACCTCCTTGGAATAGAAATAAAGTTTGTAAGTTTGTACTTGGAGTTCAAGAGAGAGAGAGAGAGAGAGAGAGAGAGAGAGAGAGAGAGAAAGAGATATGGCAGTGATGAGAATAGCCCCTTCCCAGTCATGGTTATATCCACTCCCCAGTGGAATTCAAAATCCACCAACAGGGAGGAATTCAGTATTTCAACTGTTTTTGTATACTTTGATACAATACTGAAAATGGCAGTTACCTCTTTTGACATATCATCCAAGTTCTACGCCAGCACACTTGAAAATAGTCTTCATTCTGACCACAATTTGATCAGCATAACCATTTTTTTTCACTTACCCAGTTTTACTGTGACTTTCACCTATTCTGATCCTCAGAATCAACCATCTCCAAAGTGGTATTGTCATCAAAATATTTCCCTTAATTCATGTCTTCTTTCTGCACTACTTGCAAAACCTTCCAGAGGAAGGGAGCCTCCAGGTCTCATCAGATGTGGATGCAGTAGTGTCTCTTATTCTTTCTTTCAGGAGTTTTAGGAAATCTGTAAACTACTCCCCATGATACTATGACAGATGGTTTAATGTTAAGGTTCAGCAACGTGGTGCTTCTTGGATCCAGGTGTTCTGAGGCCACCAAGGCAACACCTGTCAATACTAAAGGTCCATGAAATATCAGAGTTCAAACTCAGGTTTCTGCCTTGCAAGGCATGCCCTCCTGACCATAGGTTATCTCTCTGACCTCTCTGCAATCTATCTATCATAGAAGTTAAGTGCATAAACTTTTTTGACAGAGCTTCATGTTTCTGTCAGTGAAAGGAAACTTTATACTTTTCTAAACAATACTCTTTTCCAAACTTAATCCACTACTAAGCTGATAATATTTACATCTCCATCTGAATCCTGTAACTGATTATAGTTCCCACATGAATGTAAAACCTGACAAAGTGAAAAATGAAACTAATTATAAAGATTTGAGTTGGAACTGTACTAGTTTGTGAATGATGTTTTCTATTTGAATACCACTATTTTGGGTGTTTTTATGGTGTCAACAGATACAGTTATGATAAACAATTAAGTTTAACTGTCCAATACCTTCATATTGGAGCTTTAAAAAAAACACAGTCAACAAAATAAATTACATTTTTGATATCATTTGTTTTTTGTTTGTAAGCCACACCCCACCCAAACACTATGATTGCCATTTTCTGTCGTGTAATCATTCCCAACATAATAATTCAGGATTCCAGTATAATATCAAGAAGTTGGAAAGAGATACAACAGTCACTGTTTTATAGTTTCTTCTTTATAAAGACAAAATATAAAATATGTAACTTAGAAAATATGAGCAGAGATTGTATTAAATATAACTTGGATATATTGCTTTAAATATTAATTTTGTATTTGTGTAATTTATTAAATTACAATTCGATGTAGTTTATTTTGTTATTTCTTTTTACCACTCTGATATACACTTTTATCATACCGTCAGTGGCAGGTTTCATCTATCCAACACTCCACTGACTGCCTATCAACTCTTTGCCTCAGTATCCCCATCCACTCTCTATCTCATTGCTCTGGTAAACTCCATTCTTTTGACCAGTTTTTAGATTGTGTTACTTTGGGCCATTTCTTATTTCCTTATTATGGTTTTTTAAAAGTTTCATAGATGAGGCGAGATCATTGTGTACTAATTTCACTTTTTTTGTCTGACTTCACTCATACATAGCAACAAATCACGATTCATATATAGATGTGGATATATGTACACATATATATATAGCATTCCGTTGTGTATAAAGGAACCATAATTTCTTTATCCAGTCATCTCTTCTTTTGGACATGGGACGTTTAAAGATTTTGGCTAATATAAATGGCCAGTGCCACAAAGTTTAAGAGCCTTTCCTTGCTCCACTTCACATTTCTTGCTCTCTTATCAAAGATTAAATGGTCGTATACTTGATGTGTATGTCAGGATATTCAACGTTATCCCATTGGTCTGCAAGTCTGTCTTTATTCCAATACCATGCTGTTTTAATTACTATGACTTTGGAGTAGTTTGAACTTGGGAAGGTGATGCCTTCCATCTAATTTTTTCCAAGAATTTCTTTAGCTATTTGTGGGGAGTTATTATTCCATATTAATTGCATTCCATATTAATTCCATATTAATTTCAATTTCTTTGAAAAATGTTATGGTATCCTTATAGGGATCACATTGAGTTTGTTTAATGCTTTGAAGAGTATTGACATTTTGACGATGTTATTTCAACCAATCCATGAGCAGGGCATGTGTCTACATTTCCTTATTTTCTCTTATTTCTTGCAGTAGTGTTTTGTAGTTTTCTTTGTACAGGTCCTTTACCTTCTTAATTAAGCTGATTGATACCAAAATACTTGATCTTCTGAGGCTTGATTGTAACTGGGATTGTTTTTTTTAAATATCACTTTCTTCTCTTTCATTATTTGCTTATAGGAAAACCATGTACTTTTGGGTATTGATTTTGTAGCCTGTCACTTTAATATACAAATCTATTGTTTCAAGGAGCTTTTTGGTGGAAGTTTTTGGGTTCTCTAGGTGTAGTGTCGTGTAATTGCAAATAGTGAGAGCTTTACTTGTTTTCTATCTAGATGCCCTTAATGTCTTTTTCTTCCCTAACTGCTAGGTAAATACCTCCAAAAATATATTGAATAGACATGTCAAAATGGGCAACCTTATCTTGTCCCTCATCGTAAGTGGGAAGTCTTTTAGTTTTGCCTCATGAGAATAATGCTTGCTGTGAGCATGGTTGGCTTTGACTATATTGAAGAAAGTTCCTTAAATTCTTATTGTGTTGAGAGTTTTCATCATGAAAGGGTGAGGGATCTTCTCAAATGCTTTCTCTATATCTATTGATATGATCATATTGTTTTTTTATCTTTTGATATGATGAATTATATTGATTGACTTGCAAATGTTAAACCATTCTTGCATCCCCAGGACAAATCCCAGTTGGTCATGATGTATGATCTTTTTGATGAGTTTCTGGATTATATTTCCTAATATTTTTGAGCATCTTTGTATCTGTCTTTTTCAGGAATTTCAACCTGTAATTTTGATTTTTTGTGGTGTCTCTGTTTTCTTTACCCACAGAAGAAACTGTTTGGGAGTTTTTATGTTTCTTCAATTTCCTGGAAAAACTTGGAAAGAACTGGTAATAGGTCCTCCTTAAAGGTTTGGAAGAATTCATTAGTGAATCCATCAGAACCTGGGCTTTTGTTTGGGTGAAGACTTTTAATAACTGTTTCAGTTTCCTTGATAGTGAGAGGTCTAATCGGGTATGCCAAGTCTTCTTGGTTTAGCCTTGTGAGGTTATAGGAATCCAGGAATTAATCCATTTCTTCTAGGTTTTCTTATTTCATGACATACAAATTTTCAAAGTAATCTCTAGCAATCTTTTGAATTTCTATGCTTTCTGTTTTGATGTTCCTCTTTTCATTTTTTTGCTTTTTTTTTTTTTTTGCTTTTTGGGTCACACCCAGCGAGGCACAGGG